AAGAAGAAGAAGAAGAAGAAGAAGAAGAAGAAGAAGAAGAAGAAGAAGAAGAAAGAAAGAAAATTATTTTATAAACAGGGTGAAAATGAAAAGTGCAGAAGGACAAAAAAAAAAAAACTAAGCAAAACAAAAAACAACCAAGAAGAAAAAAGACCCCAAAAAAGAAGAACAGAAGAAAAGGAAAACATTAAGAAAAAAAAAAACAGATTAAGAAAAAAAAAACATTAAGAAAAAAAATCGAAGGAAATTTCGTTCGAAGAGAAAAGCAAAGCGACGTATAGGGGCAGACAGGTGAAACATGAAGACAGATTTCCGGGCAGGCAGAAAGCGAGCGTCTGTGTCGTCGATTACACTGGGAAATTCTCAAGACGCATGTAAAATTTAGCAACTGTCACTCGCCCATCAACGCCCGAGCGGCAAAAATGCAAAACCTTCTCCGACATGTAAATCTATTAACAAAAATCGAAACGCACAAACAGCATGCATTATACGACGAACCCCCCGCGCCGCTGAAAGGTGATAAGAAAAGGGTGGTGGAAGATGTTGCAGCTCATTGGTGCAGGAACGGGTTAAAAAAAAGAAAAGAAGAAAAGAGGGGAAGGAAACGTAGATTGAAAATAAAAACAATGAAGGGAAGGAATTAAATGCGAAGAGACAGAGAGACACGGGGAAGTGAGAGTGGAAAAACAGAAAGGAAGGAAGGAGGAGAAAGAAGAAAGAAAGGAGGAAAAAGGCGCACGCGCACAGGAGTGAGAGAGAGAGAGACAGAGAGAGAGAGAGAAAGGGAGAGAGAGAGAGATGGGGAGAGAAAAGGAGAGAGAGAGAGCGAATAAGAGAGAGAGAGAGAGAGAGAGAGAGAGAGAGAGAGCAAACGACGCAGCAGTAGCAGCAGCAGCAGCAGACACAGACACACACGCACGCGCACAGACAGACAGACAGACAGACACACACACACACACACACAACAGCAGCAGCACTAAGTGGGGGCGAAAAAAGACAGGTTGTACTTACAAGCTGATCGCAGTGTCATTATCTCGGCCGTGTCCTATGGTTCATTACTTGCTCTGCCGCGTTATTCGTTCGCTTTATCCGCTACATCGCCAACATAACACACACAGACGGCACAACAACCCAGGGGTGTTCGCTCGCCTCTCTTCTCTTTCTCGCCATGCTCTCTCTCTCTCTCTCTTTTCTCTCTCTCTTCTCTTTCTCACCCTCCCCTTCCCTCCCCTTCCCAACCACCACAACCCGTGCCTTCGTTCCTCTTCCTTGCCCGCCCCTGTCCCTGTAAAGACACCCTTCCCAGCCCTCCCCCTCTCTCTCTTCCTTTTTCACCCGCGACAGACCACCGCTGCCGCCATTTTCTTTCCCTTCTCTTCTCGTTCTCGCTTCCCCGTACCCTTCCCTTCCCATCCCGCCTTCCCCCAATAACACCACTGACTTTTTCTCTTCCTTCGCTCGCTTCTCTTCCTTTTATGATTCTCTCTCGCCCGTCTAAACCTTGCCGTTCGTTCGTATCGCTTCTCCTCCGTTCGGCCGACCACCCTCTATCACCCCTCCCCTCCATGTGTACTTCTGTGTGTGTCTCTCTCAGCGCTACTTGACTGATCCCAGCTCCACCCCGCCCACCCCTCTCTCTCCCTCTCTCACACACAATGCCGCCTGCCATTTCTTCCACCGCCCTGTCTGTGGTCACCGACTCCACACCGCTCTTACTCCTCCTCCTCCTTCTTCTTCTTCCTTTTATTTCCCTTTCGC